CCCCTAACCCTTTAGAAAAAAAACCCCAGGGGCATTCAAACTTGACAGCTTTAAGACTTGTGGACTTCAACTCCCAGAATTCCTCCTCTCTTTCTTCATCTTGATGATGTGGGGACGGGCGGGGGAAGGGAGCTGGAACCGGTTCTAAACAGCACTGTAGATTTGTAGAACCTCTTCTATAGAAGAGGTTAGAACTGGCAGGAACCCACCCCTGGTCTGAACATAGTGATCTGTCCATTCAGATATAAGGGAAAAGGTCCTTTATTTGTTCCTCAAATTGGTCAAACTTTGATTATTAAATGGCAGAACCGCAGTTGCTCTGCATAGATGACACAGGCTAATGTTTAGTAAGACAATCAAAGCTGATTTTACAATAGGGTTACATTATATTCATAATGACACAACTGAAGGATTTACTAGCACAGTCTTGAAGAAAATACCAAAATAGATCTGAATCTTATATATTTATGAACATTATTTGTTTCAGCATTTGTATTTTTATGGTAGAACTTGATTGTGATACTAATGAATCCCTGGGAAGAAACAACTTGCCCAAATAAAATATGAGCTGAGTAACTAATAAGTTTCTTTATTAGATGTGATAGGATATCATTCATTTCTTCAGAAGACTAAAACAGTTATGATTTCTGAACCACATTTTTCCTGACACAGTAGAAGGTTTTAAAGCAGCAGTTAGATAAATTACCTCCGTGCAACAATTCCCTTTAAATTTGCTTAAGATTTTATTTGAGAAGTTCTATAACACTCATAAACAAAAAAAGTCAAAGAATTAACTTTTTCTAATAGGTCTGCCTACTTGAATGTGGAGTTCTCAAACTTTAGGTATCCTTGATTGTCTGCTTTTCTACAATATGTGGCTTACTGATAAATCTAAAGTGAACAAATCACAAACTCAAACATTCTTTAACTTTAGTCTCTTGATTAGGATATTGTTTACTTCTTAATTGTTGGTGTATTAATCTTGGTCTTAATCTCTGGTCATCTGGGTCTTGATTGCTGGTGAGAAGGTGTCTTGGTCTTTTCATTTCCTTTTTGGCTTGTGATTATCTTTTTTGAATGGTATGTAGATGTTGTTTATCTTTATGTGCCTGTTGATGGCTGATTTGTCTGTTACCAACTCAGATAAACGGTCAAACAGTAAACAATAACCTAATCAAGATACTTCCAAGAACACTCCCGCTAACACTGATAAGGCATTTCGCTAGTATACAAAAAGGAAACAAACCCCACTGCCTTCTAGCACTGAAGATGTTACCTAATTTGGTAAATGAAATAAAATCAATCAAGCTCAGAGAGCACTAAAGACTACACAGTTCAGCCCTGATCTATAAATATTCTCTTCTATGTCAGATGCTTCAAAACAGCTAATTTTATATAGTCAGTCCAATGATGCATAGGATATGTTGGTAGAAGAAAATAGGAGGAAAAATAGCTCAAGGTGTGTGAGTGGATGGGTGATACTAAAGATTGAGGTGTAAAAAAGAAGTTGAAAACAGTTCCAATGAGGATAAAATATGGAGAACAACAACAGAAGCCATTATGGTTAAAAGACATTTTTTAGCCATGATGGCAGTGAAGATCTGAAATCCAAGGTGACACATACTGGAAATGGGCAAGGGCACAAAGGAAAAGTGTAGATGGATAATCCCAAGCTTCAAAGACATAAAAACTCAGATGTAATCAAATTTTACCAATGATTCTAAGAATAGAAGTAAAGGAAGCACTACTGCATGGTGATGCAGTGGTTAGAATGCAGTATTACAGGCTAATTCTGCTGACTGCCAGGGGTTCAATCCCTACCGCTCTCAAGATTGACACAGCCTTCCATCCTTCCAAGGTTGGTAAAATGAGGACCCAGATTGTTGGGGGCAATAGGCTGACTCTGTAAACTGCTTAGAGGGGGCTATAAAGCAGTATGAAGCAGTACATAAGTCTAAGTGTTATTGCTGTTGCTATTCTTTCCAGTCTCTTTACTAACAGAACTTGGGTAAGTGTATACATGGACACTCATGTAGTAAGACCTCACAGTGGGTTGCATATCGGAAGGGGAGGGAATCGTGTTACTGGGGGGGGAAGGGAAGGGGCTTAGAATGGAGCAACCACCAGCATTGCAAGAAATTGTCCAACTGCATGTCAGATTGGAATTTTATTCAGGATCATTTGGCCCATTTTCCAGCTGAATTTTCTTTTGTTTTTAACTCTCCCCATATCCAATTTGGTTGCATTCTGATCAGTTTTCAATGAATTATCAGACTGGCAGGGAAACGCATACGAAGTTGTGACCCTGTTACACAATGTATTTCCAGCATTCTATTTGGTTGTAAATAGGGCTGTCCTCAGGGAAGGTGGGTAAATGATTAATAATTATTTTAAAAGAGGGCATGGCTTCTATTTCACAGTTTTGTGACTCTTTTGACTCCACCTGCAGATGTCCCTGGCTAAAAAGAATTTTTAAAAAAAGGCTTTATTAGATAAATTCAGGCTAAAAGGGAAAGAAAAGAATTAGGTAGGCACCTGTTCAATGAAAAAGGCAAAATACTGATAGAAACGTCGATTAAAATTCATAACATATCATTTTAAGCATGACTCATTGAACTCAGTGAGCCTACTCAAAACATAGCTAAACATCTACTTCAGGAAGATAGACTTATTCTTGTACGTTTCAAAATGTCAGATTTGCTTTTGTGATTTTGCACGCTCACGAAACATTGCAATGCACCCACTCAACAAAGATGGCAGTTCCAAGGTCAGGTCAGACAAGACAGAGGACAAAAATAGTTTTGAGAAAGCCCAAGTGTTATAAATTCCATAATGTACGGAAGTAGCTGTAATGTAAATTTGGAACGATTGTTAATTTTTCAGCCATTGTGTCAAAAATTAGTTTACATAGAGGTGACATAGCACTTGACTAACTTTGGTTACTATTTTGTTGTACTGAAATACAGATCATTAACACCTATTAAATCCTCTTTTGCATAAGCCTTGCTATTATTAAGAAGGCATGTTTTCTCATATTATTGCTGTCATAATAAATGTATATTAGATGGAGACGTTGTGAAAGTTACTTGTTTAGTCAATTTGTGAAGTCAGAAATGAAAAGGAAGGAAGGAAGGAAGGAAGGAAGGAAGGAAGGAAGAAAGGAAGGAAGGAAGGAAGGAAGGAAGGAAATTCTATCAAAAAAGGCAAAGATGATCCTGTGAATACTGATAAAGAAGCAGGGCTGAATTTTTGAGAAACACTATGCAACAACTGGGATAAACATGACCTGGAAGAGAAAATATATTCTGTTATTTGACATGAAAGAGTGGTTGGAAAAGGAAAAAGCACAGAAGAAATTAGGCCTTTTGGAAAACCAAAAATTAAAGAGAATGTTAATTTTTGGCATTTGCTTAAAAAAAGGCTTTTGAATTCATAGTCTAAAAATGGCAAACTGATTGATCCCAAAGCATAATTGATTATCCACAATTGGATTTGATTTTACTCCTTATGACACAAAAGTAATTAATGGATCTAAGAATGCAGAGAGATTCTAAATATGGAACAGATTAGTTTTTAATAGACTCAAGAATGGATTTGAGAGACGATAAAGTTGGTGAAAAAAGGAAAATAAGGCCTGTGTAGCAATAAATAGAAAGAAAGATTAATCCATCCAGATTAATGAATGGAAAGTGGATGTAAGGAAAATGGATTTGGAAGATGCTTGGAATAAATCATCATTTGTCAAAATGCCCTAGAAGCCTACGAGGTTACGTTAATGGAAATATGAAAAAAGATGCTTTGTGGAATGATGAAGTGAAAGAGTTGATGGAAGAGAAAAATGTATATAGGAGAATAATTACTGCAAAAAATAAGAATGAAACCAAAATATTTTATAGTGTGTGGAGAGAAAAAATATGGGTGCATAGAATATAATGAAGAAGAGTATGGAACAATGAAGATTATATGAGACAGAGTGAAGTTAATGGGAATAAAAAGTTGCCAGAAAAGGCAGTAACCAATCATGCTTTGAAATAATTCCATTAAACCAAAAAGAAAGTATCTGCCTTGTTCAGCGATCACATTCACACATCACGCTACATCAAAAAATAAACACACTTGCATAATGATGTCATCTTGCAAATGACAGAATACTTGGGATTTCCAAATGACCCAAAGTACATTTTTGTGTGATGACATCAATAAATGGTATTCATCCCCAAAACATCTTGCTTTTCTCTACAATAGACATTCCAAGGAAAGAAGCCCAGAAACCTCACCAGTTTTATTTATCAAAAACACGGCAATCTGTCCTGTTGTTATTAGCATTGTCTGTGATGAGGCAAATAACAAAATCTATTCCAATGAAAACAAAATCCAATTAAGCAAAATATTTATACAACAAAATGAGCCCTGAATAACTTTCTACAATCAGCCTGTCTTGATACAATGGAGTCATGACATTTATTTATTAGTCAAATTTAGGTTTCACCCATCCCACTCACAAAGACCTTTGGCAATAAATTTATTAATGGTGTCAAAATTTAAAACAGGAATGGGTTTCTTCTAGATCAGGGGTGTCCAACCTTGGCGACTTGAAGCCTTATGGACTCCAACTCCCAGAATTCCCCAGACAGCATGAGGAATGATTGGCTGGGGAATTCTGGGAGATGAAGTCCACAAGCCTTAAAGTTGCCAACGTTGGATACCCCTGTTCAAAATGTGTTCAACTGCAACTCCCAGCAGCCCATGCAACGATGACCCTAGATGAAAGATGTTGATGCTATAAGTTACAGTCCAACAATTTTGGAAAGGCTGTGGCTTCCTGACTCCTGAGCTAAAGGAAATGGTAAGACAATCTGAATAATATGTTGTGCTGATTTCACTTGAGAATGCATATTAAAACATATTTATAAACATATTATTGGCAAGTAGAGAAAACATCAAGCTCGTCGGGGAAAAAATAAACAGTGGAATTGAATCTTTTTTTTTTCATTTTGCAGATGACATGGAAGCTATTCCTGTCAAACAGTTTGTGAAGCATATCGGTGAATTGTATGCCAACAACCAGCATGGGTTTTCAGAAGATTTTGAGGTATGTGTTAGAAGCTTTTAGAATGGAAAACTCCTTTTTAGTATTTAAATGATTGGTTATGGTTCTGTGAATGTCCAAAATGTCTACTCTGAAATAAATTCCATGGACTGCAGTGACCTTACATCCAGGTAAGTGGATTTAAGAGTGTAACTCTGTCATGCCAGGACATTTTCTGATTGGGGAGTGGAAACACTGAAGGAGTCATTAGTGCTCTCTGAGCTTGGTTGTTTTCTTGCAGATGTTTCATTAGTCAAACTAGGTAACATCATCACTGAGGCACTGATGATGCTACCTAGTTTGGGTAATGAAATGTCTGCAAGAAAACAAGCAAGCTTAGAGAGCACCAAGGACCCCTCCTTTCAACCCTGAGCTACAAATATTCTCCTTTACTGGAAACAGCAGCAGACTATCAGTGGAGACATCAAGTAAGCAACAGGCACATAAGCCATACTCCACTCAGTATCAAGGATGCAGTTGTAGAGGTGATAAACAGTATTAAATATCTGGGGGTGCAGATAACTAACAATAGTGGCGCAGTGGTTAAATGCAGCACTGCAGGCTACTGCTAGATCAGCAGGTCAGCGGTTCAAATCTCACTGGCTCAGGGTTGACTCAGCCTTCCATTCTTCCGAGGTGGGTAAAATGAGGACCCAGATTGTTGGGGGCAATATGCTGACTCTCTATAAACCGCTTAGAGAGGCCTGAAAGGCTTATGAAGCGGTATATAAGTCTACTGCTATAATATGAACTGATCTCTTCACATGTCATCCTTAGTGAAGTGTGCAAACCAGCCTCTGCATTTCCTGCGTCAGATGAGGAGAGCACATCTTTCTCCTTCTGTCCTGGCCACTTTTTACAGAGGCACGATTGAGAGTGTTTTAACAAACTACATCACTGCTTGGTTTGGTGGCTGCAGTGTGTCAGATAGAAAGCCCATAAAGAGAGTTGTAAGGACAGCCGAGAAGATTATAGGAAGCTTACTTCCTGTTAATTCAGGATACCACTTATACCACTTATACAGCTCAAAGCATTGTTAGAGACCCCACACACCTACTTCACGGTCTCTTTCTGTTGCTCCCCTCTGGGAGGAAGTTTCAAAGTATTTCTAGCAGGACTGCCAGATTCTGCAACAGCTTTGTTCCCTAGGCTATCTGTCTGGTAAACTCGCAAGATTCATTTTCCTTGCCAGATGCATACATCTGGACTAGACTGTTATTTCTCTGTCATATAATATTTGTAGGCATATGCATAATTTTGTATTTATTTATTTATTTTGTCATGTTTATGTGGTGTATATTGGAGGTGGAGACCCTTTGAGAGCTGTATGCACAAAATTTCATTTTAATGTATGCTGATTAGTGTACATTCAAACTGACAATAAAGTTATTTTAAGTCTAAGCCAAGGGAGCTGGCATCTAGCAATGTTTGCCTCTCAAGGGACGGCCAAAGAAGAAAGTCCTTTGGCTGTGATGGAAGCAGAATCATCTTGTGGAGGGCAGCTTCTTTTGAAATAATTTTCAGAAGATTTTGAGAGTCAGAGAAATTAATGTCAATGTGGCATCTGTGCTGGCATGACATCATACAACTGCTACTGAAGCTACCATAAAACCTATATAAATTGAATGAATGAATGAATGAATGAATGAATGAATGAATGAATGAATGAATGAATGAATGAATGAATGAATGAATGAATGATCAGTCAATCAATCCTGTCCGATAACATGTATTAAACTACAGTGTTTGGAAGTTGAGAAAGTTGAAAAAGCTGCATCTCACTCATGGAAAAGAAAAACCTGGAATAATTGAAAACCAGTAATGTGGTAACTGTGATGTGGGATTGACCATCAGCCATTGGAACCAAGGCCATGCATGCTGAAGACATTTACAGCTTTGAAACACAAGTGCTTACTGCAGCTGTGTCTTCATCTGACTCCATGTGCTCCCTGGGTTTATAAAATCATGTGGCTTAGATAAACACAGCTTCATGCTTAATGACAGTGACAGACTCAGGCTCTAATCAGCAAACACAGTTTTCCCAAAAGCCAGTATTAACCATTCTGAATACTCTATGTTCCTTTCAGCACAATTGGGCTTTGAAATAGCTGTCAAGAAGGAGGGATCTTTTGAGTTCTCACAGCCAAAAATAGCATGCAGCTGTTGTGTCATCTCTCTCAGGACCAGAGGGAGAAATATGGTTTCAGGGCTCAACATATTTTAATAATCAGGTGTTAAAAGGCTGTGATTAAATCATAAAAGGCAGCTACACTTACACATAAACTACTGTTAACAGAATTGTTGGTTTGATAAGGAGCATTTCCGCGTTCAAACTGGTGCAAAAAAAGACAGCGAGTATTCAACCTGGTTCTTTCATGCATATTCCTGAAGGTTTTTGCTTACTCGTTCAGGTATTGGCTGCATTGTCTCACAATTTACACACTGACAACCCCCCCCCCAATAATAGGAGGAAAATCCTATTGTGCCACTCATGAGCATTTTGTATTCATGAGGACTGAGGCTGTGCAAGGTGTTAAAAGTGATTTAGTCAAATTGACTCTTGGCTGGATGACTGAACAGGAACATTGAAGTATTTAACAATGTTGATGGTATTCAGGACAAACATTTATCCTCAGGGGAGCAGGAGTTGATAGGACTGATCAAATGCAGGGCCATCTCCTCAATTATTTATGAATTGAGACCCCAATCCAATTCATCACAGCTGGTTTTGACACCATTTAATTATTCAAAATAATCAGCTACACATCTGGAAACTTCGCTTCAGCTGTGTCTGAAATTGCTGCCATTAACGAAAAGGAAGACAGTCATTGTGTGCTTTGGACAATGGACATGCCCAATACTGAAATACTGTTCAGTATATGTTTATTGACCAATGCTGCCTTTGATTGTTTGCCTGGCTGGATTTTTGAATTGCAAATTACCACCAAAGAGAAAGTTAGTACATTTTATAATTGAAATTTCAAGCCCAAAGCCTATCGTAATGATAAACTTAAAAGGAATTTGTAAGAAGAATTAAATTGCATGTTTTAAAGGCATCCCTGTGAAACAAGAGCCAATTCCATATTTCTGTGGTCTATACTGCTATATTCTACGCTATTTTTCAACAGTGGGATCACACTGAAAATAGTCATATCTTGAAAAAAAAGTAGTAAATTTAGATGTGATGTCTTTCCTGCAAATATGTTTTAAAATGTTCCATTCCTGTTATCCTTTCTGTGTGGCTGAAAATGTTTTTTTTCATGAGACATTGACAAGATAGCCAAGTATTTTAGATAAATGACAAGTTGTCCATCAAGAAAACCCTGAGAGACACAGAAAGATGAGTTGTGACTTCTTGTCATGCCTGCAGTCAGATTCCTTTTAGGATAGTTGGCCTGCCACCCTCTCTCTCATTTTACTATGCTGTTTCATTAGTGGGGTAATTGGGAGGGGGAATAGTAAGGAGTAGAATTGTAGAATGTTTTGTTGTCAAAATAAAACATTCCTTTCTAAAAGCCCAAGGTCATTCTTTGTCTCCGCACCTCTGCACCTGACCGGAACTAGATGGGTGGAAATGTCAGCAGAGCAAGATTGGACCATGTGATGGACTTGTGGGTGTGGGGACAAGATCATGAACTTTCAACTGGATGGGAACCCCAGGAAGTTTTCAGATTTGGGTTTTTCACAGATGTACCAACATGCCTCTCTTATTAAATTGGAACTTTGAGGAAAGCTCTGCCTTAATTCTGGATGATATTTGGAATGCTGACACTTCTTATTATAAGAGAGATTCAACAATGAACCTCTGTTAAAAGAGGTTTTCATACATTCAGATTAATAATTGCTCCGGACAAGGGGAATAACAGAATAACAGGACTTGATGACCAATATAAATCCCACCTATTGATGAAGTCCTTTCTAGCTTCAATACTTTCATGTAGCAATTCTGATGTTATTTCTCTCTGGATTCAGTTACAATGGCAACTTCCTTTCTATTTAAAATACTTTTAAAATTTAAAATAAAAAAGGGAACTTTTTTGTTGCTGAGGAAGATGCCTTTTTCGATCCCCCAAAATTAAAATAAAATAAAATATAGTTCCCTTATATATTCATACCTCTCTGTTTATTCTGTCGATATATTAGCTATTCCTCAGTGAGTCAAAAAGAAGACTGATGGGTCTTTGTTTCCTCTATAGTGGTAAGCATCCTTGAAAATTGTGTACTGGGAAATAATCTGCTGCTCATTTCACACATCTATTTAAGTGCTGTCAGAAAAAGAAATGTTGACTTAATAGAGCTTTGGTCTGATAGAACAGAGATCTTATAAGTTCAGCTGTTACACTGGTAGGTTTGATAAGATAGATCTCATTATTTATATTCTGGTCCATGACTGCCAATAAGCATGAGTTGAATTTCTTCTTTGCAGAAGCATGAATATTGACTGCAGAACAGCATTCCAAATATAAAAATTCAGAGTCCCAGTGTGAATTGTTTGAATAATTCACATATTTCTGGGTGTGTAAACTAAACCACAACTCAAAAATTAATAAAAGTGTATGTCCTGGAAATGATCTCCCCCCCCCCACAAATGTTATCAATCTATAGTTTTCTACCAGTAATTTCCCAATTTATTGCCTTTTTTTACTCATTTAAATAAACTAAACAAGAATAAATGAGCAGTCTCGCATCAGGGACTACTGCCTCTGTGCTGCAGCATCAATATGAGTCCCGTGTGATGATAACAAAAACCTGAAGACTGGCCTAGCTCTTTCCCTACTATCCTTCTGCCATTAGGCAGACATTTTTTTATTCAAGTTGCCCTTTGAAGATTGACTTTAATTGTCAGCTGAATGTTTATTTTTTGTTGTTTTTCATTCGTCTCTGTTTAGATTTTAATTACCACATTGTGTCTGGCTGTATTTCACTCCTAGTTGCACTGAGTCTATCTGGGGTTCGATAGTGAAATATAATAAATTGGATTCTGATTTGAATGAATATCAAAA